AGACAGACAGACACAGACACACACACACAGGCAGACCTCTGACATGACTGCATTACCTGGTCAGACGATTCTTTGTGGCGCCGCTCAGCCCTCAGAGGTGCCGAGGTGACGGTGTCTGTGGGCTCTGGCGGAGTGCGGGTGATGGTGCCACTCTTTATGTGCCAGTAATATGGCCCGTCGTTATCTATCGAAAAAATAGACAGTAAACAGACTGGTTACGTAAGTGCTTAAGTAAATCTATAATAATTATCATGTAAAGCCCGTCGCTATCTATCGGCTTGAAAAAAATAGATAGTAAAGAATTGGATTATGTAAGTGCTTAAGCATTATCCTGATTATCCAAGTAATATAAAAGGCCACAGTAACGAAAATACGTTAAATAACAATTAAACCCATAATACTAATTCTGATATAAATTTCCGTTAAAATAAGACAATAACGAAAATAATATCTAATAACATTAATGAACATAATTATTCCCATAGCTATTCAAATAAAATTGTTAGCAACAGAGGAATATCTACATACATTAACACACCCTTAATAATATTTCTACTATCCATCCATTCAGCTAAAAAGAGTATGTAGTGATAGATTTCTACATACAATAATAACCAATAATAGTAATGATCCCAACTGAAGCATCAGTTAAAAAAGAAAGACAAAAAAGAAAAGAAAAAAAATATATTCATAAGAAAGTTTCCTAACCACTCTCCCTTTCTACCCACTCTTATTTCCCTCTACCTCCTACCCCCCCCTGTCCCATCCACTCTATTTCCCTCAACCTCCTACCCCCCCCTCCCTTCCCCTCACCCTCCCCACCCTCTCTTCCCCCACACCTTCCCACCCTCCCCACCCACTTTATCCCCCCCTCCAACCCTCCCCACCCACTCTATCCTCCCCCCCCTTCCCTCCTTCTTCCATACCTTCGTGTTTCTCCCATCCAGGTGGAAGGATATCCTCTATGGGCGGGTCTGTCTTCTCCGTGTGATTTTCGGTCTGCGCGGGCTGGTGCGTCGGTGTCGAGTGCTGTGACCCCGTCTGGGCAGCTGGCCGCTTCACTGGCAGGGCATACAGATCCTGAAGGGGAAGGGGGTGGTGGGAGTGAGTCTCTGCTGGCGGGGGATTGTTTTGCTGTGGGTATGTGTGTGTGTTAGTGTGTGTGCAAGTGTGTGTGTTAGTGTGTGTGCAAGTGTGTGTGTTAGTGTGTGTGTTAGTGTGTGTGTTAGTGTGTGTGTGTAAGTGTGTGTGTTAGTGTGTGTGCAAGTGTGTGTGTTAGTGTGTGTGCAAGTGTGTGTGTTAGTGTGTGTGTTAGTGTGTGTGCAAGTGTGTGTGTTAGTGTGTGTGTGTAAGTGTGTGTGTGTAAGAATGTGTAAGAATGTGTGTGTGTGTGTGTGTGTGTGTGTGTGTGTGTGTGTGTGTGTGTGTGTGTGTGTGTGTGTGTGTGTGTGTGTGTGTGTGTGTGTGTATTAAAGCTTCCCTGTTGGTGCGTTTATACCGAGTGTTAATCTCTGCAATTTTGTTCAAAACTGATATTAAACAGTTCATTTAGCTTTATATTCACATCTAATATTAACACTCCTTTGCTGTTACATTCATATCCAATATTAACAACTATTTGTCTATTTACACCTGGCATTAACATTTTTTTCTTACGAAGTATACCTGGCTTTATTAATCGTTTCTGTCACTTGCACAACATTCCTACAACCCGGAAATTAAAAAGGATGCGTCACAAAAAATGCAAGTATTTAAATTCACATCATATTCGCCTATGCAACTGCGATGCAAATGTGAATATGCAATTGCAATGACAAGCAGACGGAACACAAACCTGCATTATCCTAATTCATTAAATAATTGCAATCCTCCTTCCTCCATTTTATCCAGAACTTGACTTCCCCGAAAAGGAAAAAAAATACCGTAAAATACACATCCTGAACCGACCATCCTCCCGGCACTTAACTAAAAAGCAAAGTTCCCTGGCACTTAACTTCAACCCAAGTTCCCTGGCACTTAACCTAAAGCAAAGTTACTCTCGCATTAACACACATCTTTCCCTCAATATATCTACCTCCACCCCCTCACACCCTTCCCCCCCCCCACCCTCCCAATTCGTTTCGGAAATCCTATCACGCTAACTTCAAACCAGAAGAACCATAGACAACCGCAAGTGTCTGTCTCTCTCTCTAAGTGTCTCTCTCTCTCCAAGTGTCTCTCTCTCTCTAAGTGTCTCTCTCTCTCTCCAAGTGTCTCTCTCTCTCTCTAAGTGTCTCTCTCTCTCTAAGTGTCTCTCTCTCTCTAAGTGTCTCTCTCTCTCCAAGTGTCTCTCTCTCTCTCTAAGTGTCTCTCTCTCTCCAAGTGTCTCCCTCTCTCTCCAAGTGTCTCTCTCTCTCTCTAAGTGTCTCTCTCTCTCCAAGTGTCTCCCTCTCTCTCCAAGTGTCTCCCTCTCTCTCCAAGTGTCTCTCTCTCTCCAAGTGTCTCTCTCTCTCCTATAAATCCACAGGCAGCCGCGAGTGTGAGATCCTGGAAGCCGCTGCCCGCCCACGCTAACCTAACTAACCATGCTAACCACGCAAATGACGCAGTTTGTTGTACGCTAAGGAGGAGGGGCTCTCATTTCTATGTTTAGGGCTCATTTTCTTTATCTGTTTATTCTTTATTTATTATTATTTTATTATTTTTTTTATATTCTTTTAAGGAATGCAACTCTTTGTAAAACCCTTGCTCAAAGTATCATTCTTCGTATCATTTTTATGATGGTCATTATCATTAGCTTTACCATCATGATCACCATTACCATTAGCATTACTATCCTGATCGTCATTATCATTATCATTAACATTAATATTATTACCAGTATCACTAACATTATTAATATCAACATCAAAATTACTTTCATCATTACCATCATGAATATCACCATCGTTACTGCCTTCCCCCTTCCCCCCTCCCACACCCCACCCCCACACCTCCTCCACTCACCTGTGTATGTCCTGCTGTCATGTGGGGGATGTGAGTGGGTGAGTGATGTCCTTGATGTGAGGAGTTCGAGGACGACGTTGATCCTCCGTCGGTTACGATGCCGGAGTCGATACCTGCCTCGCCACCTTCAGGAGTTAGCATACACTTGTCATCGCTCCTGAAAGGGTTGAAGGGGGGGGAAAGAAAGGAAGGATGAGAAAATGTGATTAAAAAAAAAGATTACATAAAAATATGGAAGGGGAGTGTAGGGGAGTGGGGGGGGGATATGTAATCTAACACCAGCGTGGATTATTTAAGATGAAGCTGGGATGTGTGAAGATTAAAAAGGAAAAGGAGGTAAAAAAAAAAAAAAAAAAAAATCTCTAATGGAAATAGTTTGCAGGAAAGGAAGACCCAGCGAGAGGGAGTCTCAATTATGGAGACCTTTTTTAAAAATAAAATCACAAATGTCAGTATCGACGCTGTGAATAATATCGTTAACTATGATTTTTTTTGAAAGGTGTAAAGGGGGAAAAACTGTATATATTCAACTGATTGATATTACCAGAGTCATGCATTTGCCGAATGCACGACTTCATGGAACAACGTTACCTGTGCAATAATGCAACAAATCTCCTTATACCATGCACGAGAACACAGAACAAACGAAATAAACAATCAATAAACACACAAGAAACGAAAAAAAGTGAAAGCAAGACGTGGCAAAATATACAAACACGTCAATAAAACGAAAAGTGATTCCAAACGAGCAGCCGTGAGAGAGGGAAAGTGGCACAGAAATGAATCAAAGGACATCCACTCAAAACACAAAATAATTATAATAATAATAATAATAATAATAATAATAATAACAACAACAGCAACAATAACAATAATGATAAGAATACCACTACTAATCATAACGAAATAATGATAATAATGATAAGAACAATAATAATAATAATAATAATAATAATAATAATAATAATAAAAATGAAAGAGAAATAAAACAGCCGACAAGAAAAGATGAAATCCGATGTAAAACACACAGAGAAATCAGCACCGTCCAGGGTAACAATAATTGGAACAAGAAATTTTACACAGAACTTAATAAACGAAAAAAAAAAATCTGTAATTGCAACGGGTCATGCAACAATAGACGAAACATGCAAGACAATTAAAATGCCACCGACAAGTGCCAAAAAAGGAAACTGTTACATTTCTAAAATACAGATACGAGAGTGCGAAAGTTTACTACACAAGGCAGTGCTTTTCTAAAGACTAATTCTCCACGCTACGAAACACTCAAAACTACGAATATGCCACAAAATAATAATCAGTAATAATATAAAGATAATCAAGTGTCTTTTTTTTTGCGACGAACAAAAATGGGCGACTCGCAGTCCTAAACAGAAAGAAGCCGTTTGGTCAGCCGCGAGGGAAGAAACAAGAGGCACATGACCCTTGTCTATGACACTGACGGGACTGGAGATCAAATAGCTAGCATTTATCGGCAAGTATCTGAAGACCTTGCTGTCAGACCTAAATATGGAGGCCTGTCTCTGACATATGAGGTTCTCAATATTCTATGAATAGCTGTCAGTCTGGAGGGGTTTAAGATTATCTTCAGGGTCACAGCATAGATCGGGGTGATCTAATCGGACGCGAAAAAGGCCACCTGACTAGTCTTTCTTGGAATCTAGGAGTCTAGTCTCGGAGTCGCCACGGCCAGCGGCGACACACCAGCGGCCATCGTGGAAAAAAGGACAAAAGTCCTATGTGACTCGACATGACAGGTCAGCTTGGCTACAAGCGTTTTTTTTCCCTCTCGTTTCTCTTTTTATGTTATTTTTGTGTTTCTTTCGGGTGCAGCAACTTACTCCCTTTCATCTTGGTTGTCCTGGTTGTCGGTGACGATCTGGTTGTTAGGCTGTTGCTGAAGGTTGTTCCGTTGGATCACGTGCTCAATGAGGTCAGGTTGGTTAATGGAGTAGCTAAGGCCTTGCTTCCGACCCATTATGCCCTCATTGTCCAGC